GCATTTGATGGCCAATTAACTTGATTTTTGAAATACCTCCATAAAACTGGTACTTATCTGTGAATAATGCTTGACACAGTTGATGGGCTTACGTCAAAAATAAGAGCTAAAGTATCTTCACATAGATATTTTCTCAGCCATATGAAAGTAAGTAAAACCTGATTAATATTTGAAAGTTTACATCGCCTACATTACATTGGTAGTAGCCTTTGTACTAGCTCTTGGAACTCATAATCATTTAGTGGAATTGTAATTGAAGTGATCATGGCTAGAACTGTACAGATTATTTTCAAAAAACGCTGTATTGACCTTTCAGCTGGCATCGATAACAGATTGAATCGTGGATTTGAATTTAAATAGATAGTATTTCTATAGTTCAGAGATTGCTTTTTATCGCTATATGTTCTTTTGCTCAATGACAGACTGTCTGAATTAAAGGGATCTGTGTATGTAAAGACGAGAATGAAAAAAAAAATCATCAAGGAACAATTTTCTTTGGCGCAATCAGATTGATGTCATTCTTGCAAGTGGAATTTGTTTGTATGATTGGTTTTGTGATTTCAATGAATGTGCATATTACATTGATCATTCCCTAAAGATCTAAAATACACTTTTCATTTGATTCTATTTATTATGCTCTATCGAATTGTAATATCCTACAATCGTTGACAAAAACCTTGGACCATTCCAGCGAATTTCCTCATTTTAAGCAACACCCGCAGACAATTTCATCCCCCCTGACCCCCTAAATGCAATGTTGTCATTCATCATGTTACCATAGTACACAAGCATCCAAAACAAGACCCCCAACATTGATGAAAGGGGGCTACGGGGGAAAACTGTCAAAAAATAAAGGAGAAAAATGTTAGGCTGAAGGCAAATCGGTCCAAGGTATTTTGGCAACGATTGTAGATACCGGTGCGCGGTATAACAGACTTAAAATAAATCCTAACAATAGATAATGATGCCATATTGTTGGTATTATTGCTCGTTTTCACTAGAGTCACTTCCAAAAGCACGGGACTTGCTTAGAGATCTTAGTGGCATGTTATGTAA